CAGTTCAACATCTTATGTTTGCGAAATGAAATACATAATATATCAACAAATCACAAAAGGACACTGAGCAGTTTCCAGTTCAAAAAGAACTGTAGTTCCCGTTTGCGAAACCAGGACTGGTGAACCGTTCCTCGTTTCTAGAAACGTTAACTGCTGAACCGTTCCTAGTTCAGACCGGAAACTGAAAAACCGTTCCCGTTTATTGAACGGCAACTGAAAAGCAGTTCCCGTTCAAAGAACGAGAACCGCCTATTGTCACAGGCCTAGTCTGTACACCACAGTATATTTCTAATATCTTTCTGACTTCATCTTTCCTTCTGATAAGAGCAGTGTCGAGGCAATGCCGCATGGTTTTGGCGAAGCCTCGAGTATGAGCACGAATATCTGATCGTCGAGCACCGTGTACCAAAAATTCGTGTACGAGTAGATACTTGTATGTGTCCAGCTCTTGGATCGAATGAAACAAAAAATGTGACTTTCTCTTTCCACCAAAAGAACTAGATAAGTTTACAAAATGCCCTACGACCTTTTTTTGTGGGTCTGTTCTCGGCTGGCAGACGCGATTGACTTTTGTGTTTGAAGTCGATCAAACATCATCTCTATACTGAATTTTTAATACTGAATCTGAAAAAAATTTCGGAGAACGATAAAGGTGAAAATTTTAACTTTTCCAAAAAATCGAACAGTTTTTTAAAACTGACAGCATCCAAGTTTTTTAACTTTTTTGACCTAAAAAAATTAAAAACCACTTTTTCTTACTCAGTTCATTACGCTTTATCCAACTATGTATAAAGAAATGAAAAAAATTTTCTACTAAAAGTTCGAATTTTCAGCACCTTATATCCTTAAATTCATTGAATTTCAAAGTAGAAGAATTAGGATCGATAGCAGTTTTTTCAAAACCTAAGGCTGAGAGTCTCAGGATAGAAATTCGGCAGTATAAGTATGAAAAATCTGCTTGTGCTGTATTAAACACATCCAAACCAGTAATAGTTAATCTTGTTTAACCAAAATGAAAAGATTCATCATTTACACTGTACTTTCTTGGTTTTCTTTTAAATACGTCAGACGAAAACGGAAAAATAAACAAATTAAAAAATACAAATAAGCACAAACACACACCAACACTGAATAAAATTGCTCAAGCGCAATATATCTAAAAACATGTTAGGGCAAGCAATCTAATGTATGTTTTTTTTTGTCTCTATTGATTAACATGAGATGCAATTTACAAATAATTAAAAAAAAGAGAAAATACACACAAACTCATATTTTGTCACTGTTCAAATTACTCGCTTTGTAAAAAATAAAAAATAAATTAGATAAACACAGACAACGACGAACAAAAATCACAGTTTCAAAACATTATACGATGACAACAACAACAATCGGATGTGTAGCTAATTCGTCGCAATTGATTCTCTCTACTCACACTCGTCAAAAAAGACAAAAAACAAAAACCTGTGTAAGTGAGTAGAAAAATAGGCTTTCTACTGCTCGTTTATGCCACAATTTCCATCTAAAGCATAGTTCTTCTTTCTGAACTTGACTCTAAATAAACAACAAAAAAAGAAACAACAAATAAAATGTCAAAAATTAAAGAGAAAGAGAGAAAGAGAGAGAGATCATCTTGTAAGAGAATAGAAAAGAAAAGCAGATCAACTGTTCAGCAGTAGTCAACCGTAGAGAGAAACTGTTCTTTTTTTTTAAGCCGAAATAAAATAACACACAACAACAAAAAAAGTTCCAACCGGGGAGAAGAAAAAACGAATCACAAAAATAAAAACAACAAGAATAACCCGAAATAAATGAAGAAAGAAAGCAAAAAATATATGTATGTATAATTTATAATTTAGATCTATACATGTGCCAACTTTTTATTCTTATGGGTTGAAAGATAAGCAAAACTTACTTTCTCTAAACACAAAATATCTGAAAAAGGTTTGGACACCTAATAATAAAATAAATAAATAAAAGAACGCATTCTAAAGCAATTTGTTCGGAATTGAATGAGAATGGGTAAAAACTAGCATATATTAAAGAATAAATCTTATGATTCTTCGATTATTTGATGATTGTTACCATCTTCTATCTGTTCCTCTTCCTCTTCCTCTTCATCGTTATCATCTTCGCTCATTGTTGATGTATCAATGCAAAATTCACTTTTAATTTGATCATTCATCATTGACGTTCGATTTTGTGTGACTGTTGTTGATAATAAATCGACCTGTGATGAATATCCACCCATACCAGCTTTATCTACTGCTTGTTGATTAAAAACCGCTAATATTTGTGGATTTTTATCACATCTTCTCATATGTTTTTCTAATGTACTTGCAACAGAAAATGGCATTGTACAATAACGACAATGAAATGCTTCGGTTCCACCGCGACCATGTGTTTTCATATGACGCTAAATAAATAAAAAAAGAAATATATCAACAACAGTTTTTCTATAGTTATACGTTTACTTACTGTTAACTTTGATGATTGAGCACATGCATAATTGCATAACTCACTAAAGAAAATATTGAAATTTTATAGAAAATCTATTCACGACGTAACCTTCACAAGACAACTTACCACTTGTACGGCTTCTCTCCTAAAATAGAGAGAACAACTATTATTTAGATGATCAAAGTTAAACACAATGTGTTTTACCTGTATGAGAGCGACGATGTACAGTAAGATTGCTACAATTTTTAAACACTTTTCCACAAAATTCACTGAAATGAATGCATAAAATAAATAAGATAAAATCAGTTTACCAAGTCACTCATGCTTACCATGTATCATTTCGTCGTTCACGCTTTATTCTTTGCTGCTGTAATAATGAATTTGAACTAATTGTTGATAAAGATGTTTGTGTCATATCTCCACTTTTAGTGCCATTATTTGGTGTTGTAGCGCCATTTGAATTACAATTAGACAAAAGTGGAGTAGAACAAGTGCTCGTAGGTGTTGATGATGTTGCCGTTGTTATTAAAATTGACTCTTTACTGATGCTACCACTGTGCAAAGATGTAGGAGATGAGTTTGTTGGTGATTTATTGTGATTTGCAATCGCAGACAAATACGAACTCGATGATAGTAATGGGCTGTTATTAGTATTTGATGATACTGTACCACTTGACGTGGATAATAATCCATACTGATCTATAATAAAAAATAAAGGATGCATGGAAGTTTTGATTTTAACATTTTTTTTTAACTCACTTATATGTGGTGATGAAAATGTTGCCGTATTTCTATACGGTGATAATTTATTAGATGATGTTGCATCTGAAAAATTAGGATAAATAGCTTGATTTCCTGCAGATGTGGGCAATAATGTTCGAAATGCTTCATGAAGCCAATAATAAGATGGACTCGATGTCGAAACACTGGATGATGCTGGTGTTAGTGTTGTTGCAGTTAAAGATGATTCAGGTAATATAGATGATAAATTATTAGACTTTTCCTCTTGCATAGATAATTTTGCATCGATTGTGCCTAGATGTTCTGATTTTTTATTCGTCTGTTGTTTATCGCTATCATCATCCGCATCATACGGTTCATTTTTAACTGAAATACTCAATATAGCATTGTTCGCTAAACCATTTTCATTCGATTTTCTTATTGTTGTTTCACTTTGTTGTTTCAAACGTGGTGGTTTTCGTTGATGTTTTTTGCGTTGTAAACTATCTAAAATCGTCGTTGATATTGACTGTTCACTAGTAACATTATCATTTTTTAGTGATTGATCATTATTTTCAATTTGTTCAACATGAGAATTTGAACCAAACGATTTATTGCTGTTACGATTTTTATGATTAATATCTGCTTCGTGTAATTGAAAACAAGTTTCATCCTCGGACGACATACAAATTGAATGTGCTGATGATAATGACATTCGACGTGTATGCGATATATTATTATCATAACAATTTGATAATAATAATTTTTGATTAGTACAACTAACATCTGATGTCTGAAGATGAGATGGTTGTTTTTTATGTTCTACACACTGTTTTTGTTCATGATCATCGCTATTTCCAGAATCTGTTGGACGACGACGTTTTGGATGACGTTGAACATTATTACATGACTGGTATTTTTCATCTATTAAAGAGAAGCATCATGTAGAGTTAATATGCAAACTTATTTTAACAATAGAGTAATTCAAAAGTTTGACTAACCGAAACGTCTTTCCTCATTAGTGTAAGAAAATAGGAACAAAAATAATTACCTGAATGATTAGTTAAACTATTTATTGTTGTTTTTGTCGTATTTCGATTATGTTTTCTCGATTTTGATTTTTGTTGATGCTGAAAAATAGATCCAGTATGTGTATATAGATATTTTAATGTTTAATTTTTGATTAAAAAAAAAAGGAAAATTAAATACCTGATTATTTTTTCGTGTTGTCAGATCGACTGACTTTGGTGTTAAAAAATAGTCGATCTTTGACGGTGACGTTATGAAACGATCTTCGTCATTATCAGTTTTAGAACAATTGTCAGATGTTGAATGTCTGCTCGATAGATTTGTATCTTGCTCTTGATCAATGTTTATAGACGATGAAGAGCATAATAATGAATTTGTTGATGATACATATGTACTAGATTTTGATCCAGTTAAATAACACTCACTGTTAATCTGACATGAAGAATTATTATCATTGGTTAAAATTGATAATGAATTACGTTTTTGTTGCTGTTCAAGTAAAATATTTTGTGCTGCAATTTGTGCAGCAACAATTAACTGTTTTGAAGCAAATGTGGATGAAGATGATGGTGTATTAGATGAATGAATAGAATGATGACTAGGAGTCGAAGGTGATAATAGATGACTGTTTTCATTATTGGCCATAGTCGTATTTGTTCCAAGAGTGGTGGCTAGTGAACGAGAAGATGTTGGCGTTGTCTCCTTGAAGCAATTGGCCGCCGCTGCTGCTGCTAATAACACGATATCAATATCAAGAGAAGAATTATTTGAATGACGATTTGTATGTTGAGTAGAATTGATTGATGACGATGAAGCTACTGATGTATCATTTAAGCAAGTATTGTATATTTTTATCTGATGTATTTTTTGATAATGCTGAATAAGAAACCAGGCTGTACTATATACATCGCCACATTGACTACATTCAAAATTGTATGGCTCAACTAGAAACAAAATGTTTTTGATTACTTTTTTTCTTTTAAATTCTAGGATTTTGTTGTGTGAAGAAAGTTTTTATTTAAAATAAAATGAACTTACTTGTTGTATTCAATGTATTTGCACTTGCATCAACCAATATTTTACAACAGGATGATTTGTTTATTTTTTTTTGATGATTTTTCGTCAGTTCATTTGATCTTGTATTTTCTACATCTTCTTGTTCATCGACATCATTATCTTCATCGCTCTGATGATTTTGATGACATTGCATAAAATATGGAATATTTTCTTTATTTCCACAACGCATTTTATGTTGAATAAATTGTACAATATCGCTTAGTTGAAAATCTTGTTGACATAAACCACACACTAATATATCAACAAATTTAAGACGATTATCATTTGAACAAAGTGTTCTTGACTCATCATTTTGTTGCATAGATGTTTTTGTTTTATACTGTTTCCCGTGATCTAATGTATGAACGATGTCATTATTATCAGGAGAAGAATGTCTAGATCCATTGTTTATTTCGCATTGATCCGAGTGGTGACTGCTATTGAACATTGCAGTCTTCAACTCCTAAAAGAACAAAAAAAGAAAATATAGATATGCACACATACTGTATATAGCACGATTTTTGCAAAGTAAATATATGCACGAAAAGAGCAATTGTTAACCTTTATATTTTCTGTATGTTGTATAAGAAAAGGGATACATGATACTTTAAAAACGCATATGGTCAATCGATCGCCTATCCATGCATACTTCATCGTTTAATTAACATTTTACTTACGCTTCTCTTCTGTGGACAATGATGATATCAGAAAAACATATGTTGTATCTTTTTTTTTCCTATCGTTTCTCTCTCGGTGTGTATGCTTTTTCTTCCTGTTTCTCCCATTTATCGGTATTTCTGTATAATATACGTGTTGCGCAAACTTATCATTTGTACGTATCAGGAATATAAAAAAATGTGTGTGTGATAAGTATATGTCCCTCTTTTTTTATTTCAATCGCATGATAGAGACAATCCATAGCTTAAACATAGCAGAACAACATTTGATAATAACAACATCAATAAAAACATGAAGAAATCAGTAGTTCATTAGACGTATTTTAAATAAAAAAATATAAACTATTGTCCTTCTTACGAATGATCTCTTCAAAATAAACTTTTTCTCATCTTATATACAAAAGCTAAAACTATTGTTCTCTTCTCATGAGAACAATGCAGATTATCGAATATATTACGATTGGATTTTTACCAATTTAGACAAGTTGAACAATGATGACGAATTTTGGATTTTTTTTTAAAATTTTTTAGGATAAAAAAAAAATCACCTGTAAATATCTACATAGAACTAATGGAACTGACATCAATGAAATTTTCTTTATCACGGTCATCCATTCTCACGTCGAATAATTTCCGTTAAAGTGGAAGCTGTTGTGAATACGTTCTCCTTTTCTGTTTGAGTATGTCTATTTATCTTAAGCACAAAGTATCGGAATTGGTATAGAAAGACAATAGCATATAAAAAAAGAGGAGAAAAATAGCAAACGGACGATAAAACATAAGAAATTGAAAAGAAGAAGAAAAAAAAAAGAACAGAGAACAAAAAATAAGCTCCGTTCAACTCATGGTGTTGTCGCACACTTTCCCTCTTGTCTCATCTAAGAACAACCTTGTCCTTCGTAATAGATTATATATATATATAGTCTCCATGACGTAAACTCGACATGTAATCATATCTCTTTTGGATATGATGTGTCCGCCATACAACACTATCCATATGGTAATAAAATGTTTTTTTTTTTCATTGAAGAAAGAAAAAATTATTGATATTTATATTGTATGCTTTATGCACTCTACCTATGTATTTTATATTAAAAAATAAAATCAAGGAAGAAGAAATGAGAGTCCATGGGCGAGTCCGCTCAAAGAAAAAAAAGAGAGGGACATTTATCTTACATTTATTCTCTCTTTTTTTTCCATCGAACATGTTATGTGAACTTAAACACTGGTCTCGTCTTTCACTATAGTTCTTGAACGTGTGTGTGTGTGTGTGTGTAAATGGCCAAAAAAAAAAGGGAAAAAAAATGAAAAATTATGTTACACAAGAAAAAAGAAACCATCGAGAGAAGGAAACAATTCTCACGCACACAGTATCTATCATGCTTAAGATTTTTATCCTCAATATTTTTTTTTTTTCTATACACCTTATGTTGTTGATGTTGCTGATAATAGTGGAACTCAGCAGCTAGCCTATTACATGTGTGATTATACAAGATTAACATATACATACCGGATATAGAGGGGGAAAAGAAAAAAAAAGAAGACCGACAAATAGAGGGATGGTAAATGCCACCATCTCATGATAGTAAAATAAAAAAGTCACACAGACACATTTGTCTAATTATATTCAAATACTTGTTTTACTTCTCTCTTTTTCTCAAAATTTAGATACGTACAGATCTCTGTATAGAAAAACATACAATATGTTAGTTTTTCTTGATGATTTTTTTTTTTCAGTTTGAAAGAAGCATCAAATATACGAAATAAATATTTAAAATATTTATATTCACAGATGTCTCAGCATTATTCTACACAGTCTGTTAAATCATTTAGAAATCTCTACAGTCAACAACCATTAACATGATTTTTCTAATCTAGCCGATTTTATGAGTTGATTGAAAATTTTAAAGATTATTAAAATGACTTCATGAAATAATGAAGAGATTTATCAGTATAATGAAAAAATTAACTTTTGACCATAACAATTGAAAAAAAAATATATTATACAATACCTTTGAAGAGTTTATATTTATTTTATATGACTATTGATGGTCAAAACAAAACAAAAAAAAAATAAAAAATTTGAACACTACAAAAAACCATTCGACCTTGATAAGAAGTGACTGACAACAATTTACTGTTTTATGACAATGACCTTACCGTTTCTTTTTTTTTTTTGTTCTATTCTTTGATCGATCTTTCTATAGTATGTAACGCGTTTATATGTGTATGTGAAACTATTTCTTATGCAAATGTGCAACTAGTTACGTAGATAGTATTGATTAATTGGATGATGACCATTATAGTGCTTACTGTCCTTGGTAAATCGATCGTATTAACATAGAGAGAAAGAGTAAAAAAGAATATTTAAAGAAAATAGAAAAAGAAAAGAGAGAGAAAAAAAGCTCTGTCACCATAATCAAGCGGACGATTGCGCGACGCTTCACCGGTGGTCGGTCGGCGATTGGTGACAGGCGGGTTTCATTATTTTCCTCTTTTTCTTCCTCTTTTCTACTTTTTGTTTTCATATGTAACATCTGGTTTGTCCAGCAATTTTTTTTTTCTTCTTCGTCTTTTTTCTTCATCTCCTTCTATTTTCTTTTTGTAACATTTTTCTAGCAGAAATATTATGCACATACATAGAACAAAAAAAGTCAAAACGTTTTTGTTCTGTTCTTTTACGTATAAAAGTCCGGACTTATACTCTTTTTTAACTATTTATTCATTCACTTGTTCTGAAATAAAAGAGTTCTCTAGTCTATATTATTACCATCATCTTCTTTTAGTAGTAATAGTAGTAGAGTATGTGAGGGAAAAAAAGAAAAGAATCTCTTCGAAGAATTCAAGAAAATTATGAATACTTTATTTATTTATTAGCAAGAAAAAAAAAAAAAAACGTTCAACAAAAAGATAATAAAAAGAAGAAATGTCGGCCTACAGAACACCTCTTTACACCCATTCATGTACTGAACGCTATTAATAAATGAAAACTATCAATTTTTGAATAAAACAATGTAGATACATCGGTTTCATTTTACAACATTTTTATTAGGTTCGAAGGAAAATCATTCAAGTTTTGAACAAAATTTAGTTCATAAACAAGTAGTGAAGAAATTCATTCTTCTCGTTTATTTCTTGATAATGGAACATATTATACACTATAATCATCAGATGTGCCAGTACTAGAGAATCTGGATATAAAATGAACATATAAAACTGAAATTGGTCTTCCTTCTTGATAAAATGAGTTCCAGACCGTTCTTCAACTAATTTTTTTCTCTGCGCACTAACAAGTATTTCCGGTTCTTTTCTTTCTCAAGGTCTAACACTAAATAAGTATGCAGCATTCCCTTTTTGTTTCATTCATTCAACTGTTCCGTATGTTTGTCATTTCCATTTTGTCGTTCTTTTTTTTTTTTCTCTTTTCTCTGTCTGTTGTTTTTTCTTTGATCTTGTACATACTGTACTCACCAATTATCAACTCTAAATGCTAACATGAAAAGAACAATCTATTGTAGTAACAGCAGCAGAATAAAATACATAGGAAAAAAAGATTTCTCACATTATAAATCATCAATTTTTTAATAAGTTAATCTTTTTGATAAATGGTATCTATTGCTTCGAGCATCATTTTGTTGATTAAACCTGATGGAAATTCTGATGGTCAAAAATTATACATCTGAATGGGATTTTCTTCTTGCATTACTTATTTTACCACAAATGGTATTTAGAACCCCACTCACATATATTTGACAACCTTTCAATTTTTTTTCTTTTTATGTGTCCATAAACTCAAATAAATGATCATCCCTGGCCATAAAGAATAAACAAGGCCTTGCCTACTCCTATTTACAAGGTAGACTATTAAAATTTTTTTAGATGAACAGGGTTAGATTTAATTTAAGCAATATTCATTCTATGTAATATTATCACGTAGCTTACATCTTTACCACTCTATTTTAGAGAGAAAAAAAAAAAGAGTTGTATATTCAGATGTTGTAGCTTTTTCTTCGTCTCTCGAGATAAAAAACAGAGAGAAAGAAAAGAACGTGTATGTTGTATTTGATAGGCTATTAGATAGATGAGAATAACGACCTTTCTAATACCGTTCATAACATAAGTAGAATAAAAAGAGTGATTGTCAAATGGATTTTTACATGTAGAAGGTCAAGTAAACTAGCATGCAGATGTCTAACAATGACTAAATCATTCGACCTCGATGTTACTATAATGAATTATTGGTTTAAGAGAAAATTTACTGTTCTATTGTCAATTATTAAAGCATCTTTAAGGTGTTGTTCACCTTTTAAGCTCTTATTTGTGCAAATACTATGAACTCTGATGTTCAAAATAATAACTAGTAAGAACTGATATCCCTAAAATTCAGTTTCAAAAATTGTTTTTCTTTATTTAATTAAAAATTACTAGTGATTTATGCTAGCATTTACATATCAGAAAAAAGTAAAATTTCTGAAAAAGCGACATGTTATCGTTTAGTTGTATTATCTGTTTTATAAAGATGAGGAATTTTATATTACCTTCTTTCAATTGTCCAAAACTAGAGAAATCATAATTAATACCGACTATTATCCATTATCATAGTCTTCTTCGCTCGTTTTATTGTTATTTATTGTTTCTATTTGAGTATAGGAAAAACGTCAAGAATAAAAAAGATGAATGAAAATTCTATTTCAATCAGTTTTGTTTGATGCTATATCATATATGCGTAACATTCTTGATCATGAAATAGTAGATGTATAATACGAATATC